CCAGTTTCTAGCGTTATAGCTCTGCAGATATACCGCTGTGCCATTGGGGGACGCAACAGGATAACAAATAACTTGTTGTCCAGTTGTGAGACTAATGAATGTGAATTGATTGGTTGCAGCTTCTTTCTTTGGTTCCTGGATTTTCAGAATGTTGTAATTCCTCAAGGTTCTTTAACACTGTGTTCAATGTCTTTCAGTAGTTCTATTATTACGAAATCTTAATGTATATATATATATATATATATATTAGTTTATCAGTGTTTTCTCGCATAAGCCATAAGTATAAAGAATAATCTAATATGAATACATTTTTGTTGTTATCAGGCACTAATGGCATTTCCGATGCTGTTTACATGATAATTTCAGTAATCGTATCAGGAAATCTTAAAAGAAAGTATTTTTTCATAACTTTATTTTATTTTAGCGAAAAAATACGTTAATTCCATCAAATTAGATTTTAGTCAAACCATTAGTTCAGATATATTTTGACAGGTCTACATTTCGCCTGTTTTTCACAAATAGGATTCTTATATCTACTGAAACTGTGCTGAAAATCTTTAACAGTGTTTGCGAAATAAAGAATTGGAATTAGGACTGTTATCCCGTGTTATGGCTATATGGTTAGTATTTCTAAACTTTAAATTATAAAAAGGAAATGTCTCTATGTCAGATCGTAATGACTAAAACATGTCACTCTCATAAGCACGTGCTCTATCCAGCAGATATGCAGCATTTTATATTTATTTATTATTATTTTTACATATTTTAAATATCTGTAGACGCATAAAAACGTACTTTTCGTGTCTAATTTGCTGAATATGTTTTTAACGTTATTCCCAACTGTAATTCGTGCTCGTATCACCGACTTAATATTCTTAACCCAATCACAAGTAACAAGGAAGACAGTGAGAGTACCTGTAAACGTGGCTGATTTTGACGCCTACGAGACAACCCACTTAACCAGTGATTGCCCTTTAAACCAGCTCGCGCTTCTAAGTGGGCTTCCAGGACAGAGCCGCACTTTTCGGTCTTGCTCTAAAACTTCCTTAGGCTGTTCTAGTTGTCGTAGCAACAGCTTATCATCGAGAGAAGATATGTCCCGATTGATGATCAGAATCTTCTTTTTCGGAGTTGCTTTGGCCTTTTTCGAGCTCAATTCAACAACCGGGACACAAAGTCAAGGTGGGTCCTTTACATTATAATTAATTGTATTATCCCTTGCGTCTGTACTTAATTATATTCAAATGAAGGTGGTTTCGTATTACTGTTGTCTTTTTCCTTGTGTAAATAACGGTTTCTACTTCTGGGTAACTATGAGCATTTGGAAATTATCTAGACGAGATGAGGGCGGACATAAATAAACGTGTATGATTTTGATATTTACATTTAAAATCTAGTATTTAACTGTCAGGACGTTTCAGTCACATTAACATATGTATGCTATATACTTCAACAAAATCCTGGTGTTTATATAGCGTTCTTATATACATCGTCTGAAAAGTTTGTTCTTACTAGCCTATTAATTACCCAAGCGAATAGAGGTTTCTTGTACTTAAAGAGATAAAAGGGATTTATACCTGACGCCTGCACTACTCTAGATGTGAGATTAGTAGGGACTTGTACCTGACACCTGCACTACTCTAAATGTGAGATTAGTAGGGACTTATACCTGACGCGTGTACTACTCTAGATGTGAGATTAGTAGGGACTTATACCTACACCTGCACTATTCTAGATGTGAGATTGGGAGGAACTTATACCTGACACCTGCACTACTCTAAATGTGAGATTGGGAGGAACTTATACCTGACGCCTGCACTACTCTAGATGTGAGATTAGTAGGGACTTATACCTGACGCCTGCACTACTCTAGATGTGAGATTAGTAGGGACTTATACCTGACACCTGCACTACTCTAGATGTGAGATTAGTAGGGACTTGTACCTGACGCCTGCACTACTCTCGATGTGAGATTAGTAGGGACTTATACCTGACGCCTGCACTACTCTAGATGTGAGATTAGTAGG